CAGCTACACGTACTTTACCATCAACATCTACAGCATCCACACCAACACAACCTAAATCGCGATCAATGAATATAGAACCATTTGTTGTTAGAACATCAATTGCAAACAAAAAGAAGTTTGATTTACAAATAGCTAAATTTATTTACGCCACAAACTCGTCCTTCAGACATGTAGAACATCCAGAGTTCATAAAATTAATAAACTTGTTGCATCCTGGCTATAAACCGCCTTTAAGACAGCAAATTGCAAATGAATTGCTAAATGAAGTATTCCATTCAGAATTGGTTCAAATAAAAGACTGTTTAAATGAAAAGAATGTATGTATGGCTCAAAATGAATGGAGCAATATTCACAATGATTCTATAGTGTGTATATCAGCGACAGATATTGTTGATGAAACTGTGCATTTATGTGATACTATTGATACCGAATATAATAGCCATACTGCAGAATACTTGTTAAATTTGGCAATAACTTCAATCAAAAGTTGTCAACGATATGGATGCAGAGTTAGAAGCTTTGTGACTGATAATGCAGCAAATATGTATAAAATGAGAGAAGAATTGGCAAGATCTGAAGAACTATACCTGATATTATTACTTACGGATGCTCCGCACATATTTTAAATCTTCTTGCGCGCGACATTGAAATTCCAGGAATTCCTGGAATTAAAAGGAACATTAAAAAAATTATGAAATACTTTCGAAACGCGCACTTTGCCGCTGCTAAATATAAACAAGCAGGTGGGAAAGCTTTAGTGATGCCACAAGATGTTCGATGGAATATCTTGGCCGATTGTCTGGAATCATATATTAATAACTGGCACATTTTAAGTAAAGTTTGTACTGATAATCGAGCAGCAATAAGCTTGGATATTTCATACAAAATTCACGATATGGATTTAAAAATCAGTGCAACAAATTATTTGGAAAAACTAAAAGTAATTTCAGTCGCTTTAGATAGAAGGTTCAACGAGATTGCTGTACAATTAGTGAGGCTACAGAAATTTGGATCGAAATAATAAATCATTTTAAACAAAACAACTATTTGGAGTCTGACCTTAATTGTGTTCTGTAGCGTTTTAAAATGGCAATGATGCCTGCACATTATTTAGCAAACTTGCTAGATTATCGATTTAGAGGACTTCAGTTAAGCGAAAAACAATTAGATGAAGCCATGGAATATGTCAGTTTATATCATCCTGCAGCCATGCCTGACGTTATATCCTACCGAGCAAAAACTTCTCCATTCAAAAATTATCTTTTTTTCTAAAGAAACCAAAAATGTTAAGACAATAACATGGTGGCTTGCGCTAAAAAATAATATCAATGTTGTTACATTCGATTTGGTAACACAACTCCATACAGCAGTTGCTTCTTCTGCTGGCATAGAAAGACTATTCTCAGCTTTTGGGTTAGTGCACACAAAACTAAGAAACAGGTTAGGCACAGAAAAAGCTTCAAAATTAGTAACAATTTTGAAGGCATTAAACAAAAAAAGTAATCCAATTGTAATTGAACACGAATATTGACAATTGAGAATTGAGATTGAAACTTAAAACTGCATAATCCGATTCTTTTTTAAAAGTTTTTGTTTATAGTTAGTAGAAAAAAACTTAAAAACTACTGCTGAATGTAGTTTATTGTAATATTTTATAATTTATTAGAATATTAATAAAATGAAAGAAAAAGGGCCACGAGCCTAAGAATAAGTCGTTGTAAATAGTGATGTTTTAAAAAATACAAAATAAATATGTCATGTAGTCACAATATAAAATTTTAATATGCCGGCAATGAACAATATAAACAAACACACAAA